AACAAACGGAGTCCCGGATTGTCGCCAATGATGTCGTGCGGACAACAGAACAAGTCTATGGGCTTAGGTTTCTCTCCGAAACAAGGCGTCACTAATAGTAAGGAAAATTCTTTTTCATAATAACTTTAACATACTAAATTAGAGAAATAAAATTAATATGCTAAATTTATTTCTCTAATGGTTCTTAAGTAATTTTTTTTCATATACTTTCTTTGAACTGAATTTAAAAACTAATTCTGTTTTTTATTATTATGAATTAATTTCGACATTTTTTCAAATTTTTATTTATATTAAGGAGAACGAAAATCCAAAAATTCCACAATTATGCATCATAATATTTCGGGAAATTGTAATGTTATTTAAGTTAATGTCCTCGATGAAAAGTAATCCGATATAATTTACATCCGTCACAAATGTCGTATATTAAGCAAAATTATATTGTAATATTGTTCGAATTTATATGATGTGTAAGTGGATATAACATTATTAATGGTGCAACATTATTCTGTATTAAATAAGTTTAAAATATAATATTTAATATAGCCTTAAATAGGTTTATGTCAATAGGTCAGTAAATGTTACATTGACTCGTATCTATTTATGTTTTGACATCACGTTGATATTTAACGATTGTTGTTTTTCGATGTATGTAAGAGATACATGTGCGTTATTAGTTAGTCGGTTTTGTACTGTCTTATTTGTAAGTTGTGTTACATATTAGTATATTTCCTTTATTTGCTATTTCTTGTAAATTTTATTTTGGATTTTCTTTATTTTTAGCAAAGAAGATTCTATAAAACTTAAAGCTTTTGGCGTCAAACAATATTTTTATATCAATTGTTAAATAATCGTTTAAAGTACGCACCAGTATCTTTCTAGAGTAAATTAACTCTTTTATGTTATCCTTTATATTTTATACTTATTTTAAATTTCTTCATTCTTAAACCCTTTCCGTTTTTTTTTGCAGTTTCAGGTGCATCGTTTAGCGATAACAGTATTCTAAACGGCTCGTCAGTAGAAGTTGAGAATCAAGTGTTAAACACTTCATCGAGCAGCGAGAAATCCTTTATTCAACAACGAGTGGAGCGGCTGTATGGTCCAGGTGCTCTAGCGCAGGGTTTCTTCTTCAAACGCAGCATCACTAAGCTAAACAGTAGCGACAGTAGTTTCAACAAATCCAGTAATAACAATGACATTTCGGCAGATAACGCAAACACAGAAGAATCGTTAAAAAATTTGCCTGTTCTGCGACATTTGCGCCCGGAATTTCGAGCACAGCTCCCTGTAGTCAGTAGTAGAAAACCCACAGACGGCACAGAACAAGTTATAAAGCCATTACAAAGGTGAATTCTATGTTTTATAAATAAAATAGAAATTGCTTTGTTTAATTTTTCCTATTTGACAACGAAATACTTTTACGTTCTCAGGATAACGCCGGTGACACGGAAATCCGAGCAGATGAATCTCCCAATTATAAATTCACAGACCAGCGTAATAAGAAGGATTCCGATTACCATAGAAGGTGACATACCGCAACGTGATACGACTAGTAAAAATATACCTGATCAGCAACCAGCCGCGCCGAAAGTAGTGTTACCTGTATTAGAACCCAGCGCCAGCTCGACGAACATAGCGAAACAAGTTCAAGAAGCGGAAAAAGTAGTCGAGGAGAAAGATGGTCATTATTTTATGAAGGTAATTGGAAAATAAATGCGTATATATTACACGATGTAAATACCTATATTCTCGGCAATAAGAATTCATACATACTGTGCTTTCAGTTACTGAAACAAGAGACGGATAGACTGCTGTCGTTGGCCGCATCTGCAGAGGCCGAATTAGCCAGCGGCGATACTGTTGCACTGCCAGAAGAGGCAGCTGGTAAGCTGCGATCTGCTGCAGGAAAAGCTAGACTGTTAACTTCACAGAAGATGCAACAGTTTGAAGGATTATGTCAAAAGAATATCGTAAGAAAATTTCTAATCGGTATTTTATTTGGAATATTAAACGAATAATAAAACTAGCAGCTCATATCTCGATATTTTAGAATCAGATGCCAGGTGAAGAATTTCCAACGACAAACGAAGATTTGGCTGGCTTCTGGGATATGGTGATGCTACAGGTTGTTCAAGTAAACGAACTCTTTGACCAGATAGAGAAACTAAGGAAGTTGCAATGGCAAGAGGTATGAACAAATAATATTATTATTGATATCGAATCGGCATCTAATTTTTCATATTCATTTTTATATTCCTTCTTTTCAATAAAAATCACATTCTTTTATAATATTTTGATTTTTCGCGATTACACCTTCAACACTTTGTTTTATATGCACATAGGTCGTGCCAGACAAGAAAGCCGCGTCGGCCTCGCAACAGAACGGTAAACGTCGAGTCATACCAGTCCACAAAGCGAAACCGACCGCGAACAGTGAGGCGAATAAAAAGGCGCGCGAGGCGAGGGAGCAAGCACGACGACAAATGATCGAAGAACGGAGACGAGCGATGCGCTCCAACGCGCAGAATGTCGACAATTCTGTCGAGATCTTTGCTCCCGAAACGTAACGATAAATTGAGTTCGAGTTTGACCGAGCGATATGATCGCTCGTCATTGCGGCTCCTAAGGAATATTAAAATATATAGACCGTCAGTTCGAATGCGAAAAGAAAAAGAAAGGGCTTAGCTCGTACACGAGACAGTAACGCAGCTTCGGCAAAAAAAAATCAAATTCGCTTGTTATATAATTATTCATTCAAAATATTATCTTTCGCTGCGTGCACGCGCGCGTGAATTGCACGCGAGTTATGCGCGGCGAGGAACAGGAAAGTATTAAGCAGATAGATCATGTAATATGTGTTGAAGTTGCTAAAGATTTAATACTACTGCAAATAAGAAAGAGGATATACACGCGCGTTAACGAAGGGCAGGTGTTTACGTTTTGCAGGAACTTCTCATCTTTTTTTTTTCATCGAGCTTCTACGCGTCATCCCGAGCATTCTAGCGCAATAACGCGACACGACGACGATGTGTCGCCTCTTGTCCATAGAGATGTTTTATAAACGAAAGGTGGAAACATTTACTGTAGCACTTTATCAAATTGTTTTTCTACGTTACGTGTCTCTACATGGACATTATTAATTTATATTTATATAAATAGTGATAAATTGCGTGTGTGCGGCAGAAGTTAGAAACTGTAGCGACTGAAGAAGGTATGTGGCTCCGCAAGAATCCTCTAGTGGAGATCAGTCGCAAAATCAAGAGATGTGGCGCGTCTAGGTTAAGGATAAAGAAATGAATTTGAGAATTTGTGACATATAATGACTTGATATATATATATATATATATAATATTTTCTGGCAAGAAAATGCATTATTTACTAATTTATTCAGGATTGATTCCATTTTGATAATTCGCAATTTCCTTAACCTAGACAGGCAATTTATTACGTAGCTTATGTATGTAAATAGAATTAATGAATATTCACATTTGCACAAGGCTGACTCTACGCCAAGTGTTCGCCTAATAGCTTTTTCTATCAGACGTCGATAAAATTTCCCCTGTTGAGAGGTATTGTCAACAGCAGTTAGGAGTAAAAAGATTCCTATTATTCTTATTATCGTATATATTGCGTGTCTCACGGCGATAAATATTATTTTATTATCATTGTTCTAATTATGACCATGTGTAGTTACACCCTCACGTCTCCCGCGCGAAATATGAACGTATGATTTAATTCCGTTTTCTTCAGAAAGAAAATTCCGTTTTCAATAATATGATGTTTCCAGGTTTTGCGTGCGAGACTAATCGCACCAGGAGCACTCGATGGCTGACATACTTTTTGATTCTTTGTAAGATGATTATATTTGATGACTCATTGAATATTGCACTTAACTCGAAACGTTTGTCGAGAAAAAGAAAGAGAGAGGGAGAGAGATGTATATCGGATGCGAATGCGTGGCAGATGCTGATAATATCCTCATTATCGTGACGGATCTCCGCGACGAGAATCCGACTGTGATCGACGTACGTGTCACATCCGCCGAATTTGACATTCCTGCGACAAGAGTATCTCTCGTCATAATACGATACACTTTTCTTCGCGTAGTTGTACGATAGCGTTACTCCTCGGCGTCCGATCAATGGTCAGCGGTTCTAACGGCAAGTCATCAACCAAATAACACTCATACTCTAAGTAAATAATCACACGCGCGTCGTCACACACGAATTGTAATCGCGATTTTGTTATAATGTTACATTTCTTATTATAATTGCCAATTACACTCGTCTTATTCGAAATTTTCATATAAATTCCCAGAATAATTTATTAATTGTTGATTCCCTTGGTGCCTTCATTATTTATATGTGTGTACATAATCGACTGACAGCCGATAATTTCATATACATATACTTATTTAAGTTATACCATTCGACCGAATTTCACCAAATTTGTTGAGAATAAAATGAATAAATTTCATTATATATATTTATCAATCAGACGTGCCTGGAAACAGTGTGAAAAATTAATAGAGCTAAATGTTGAGAAATCATTAGATATATTCTTTCGTTGCGACAGTAGAATACATTCACCTTTATTCACATCGAGTGAACAAAAAACAAACATCCACATTTTATTTTATATTTCTCTTTAACATATAAAAACATGTATAAGATATAAAATAGGAATTCTCTGCAGAGCATCGTAGGCGTCAGTATAAATTGCGGCAGTAAGTGTGGGAAGACGGTAAGTACATCCGATACTTGATCTTCATGCGTACAATACGTCGCGTATGACATTCAGCAATAATGTCCATTTCCCTCGCAAGCCCATAATTAAATTATTCGTGCAACAATTTCGACCACGATAAAAAAACTTTCGTCTCCATTCTGCTGCGCGATGAACACAACGAGGTGAATATTTCTGGTTGCACTGGTTTTCTTCTAGTATCCCGTTTCGACGCTTCGCACCGTAGCACCCATTACGGCGAGGCCAGACCCCTCGCTGATTTTATTTGCATGCTCAGGCTAAGCATATTAGGGTCTTTCCTTCGTTCATTTTGTCCTGGACCTTGTCACTGGCCGTCGATTTCTCCGCCTGTCCGCTAAAAGCGGCGCAGACGAAGGTGAGAGTGACACCGATCGCCGCGCTATAAAACGCCCAACCTGGAAAAAACGATCTTTTTTAACATAAATAAGAAGAAAACACTTTATACGCACGAAACTGGATCTTAATATTTTTTTAATGAATTTATATATAGTTCCCAGCACTTCAAACTGCGCGTCAACACAGTCGGTTTTGAAACGCAGTCCTAAACTGAATAATAATCTAGTAAATTAAATTGATAATATATCAACTTAATAATAATGATCATATCATTATTATTAGTATAATTAATCATATAATTAAATTGATTTTTTTAAATATTCTATAGATTCTCTAATTTAATTCAGTCAACACTAGTCTAATTTTATTTTACTTTTTTGTGGAGTAAACGAGAACCTAAATAAAACAAAAAATCATGATGACATCAAAACGATATCAAAATAGCTCCAAAATGATTATTAAAAGTCACTTTTCGATCAATCACGATTCATTTTTGTAACTGTAATTATTTAAGAACTGTCTCTTAAAGAAAATTATGGAAGCCCGATTTTAAAAACTAATTTTATAACTTTCGATGAACATTTAATTTACCAAGACTGCAGTTTGCGAGATAGAAGGCATCGGCTTCGGGGCCGCAGATCCTCTGTACTCTCTCAGCACCCCAACCGGCAGGATACAGAATCATCCCAAAAAGATATAGTATTCCTGTAAAAATTAATATAAAAAACTAGAACGACAAAATACGCTTTGCACAGATGTGTTTCGCCGATTATTTGATTTGTAGAATCGCGACAATGGGATCTCTTTTTAAGACATGTATATGTTCGTCGATTATTCCGGGCACAACCTTTCGGCACAATGGAGGTTGCGTCATTCGCACTCTCGAGATACCATTGTCAGGCTGAAAACACATTACGCACGCGGAATACTCAGCTGCAACGAAGCGATCATTGCTTTCTGAGATCTGCGTCATTCTTACTAATGTCATGCTAAGAAAAGGCCAACAAGCTTTATACATATCGGAGCAAACGTTGTATAAGTTTGTAAGGAAGAATTGTTGGGACCTAAATCCTACTATATGTGAAAGAAAAAAGAATATACAAATCTCTTTTTTTTTTTTTTTTTTTGGAGAAACATCGCCCATCACTTGAAGGATTATTTCAGCCGCGAGCTAAGAAGCTTATAGTCGGGGTTTCATCGTTTCGTCATCCCATCATCTCAATCCTCGCCTCCGTTGAAAAGCAACATTACCGGCAACGGCTTGCGCCACTCCCGCCAGATTGAAGATGCTCTTGCGGCCGATGCTCTGCACGCAGCATCCGAGCAGGGCGGCTATCACGGTCACCGACATCGCCGCCAGGCCCGCGGACAGGAAAAACAGGGACGCCTTCCAGCATCCCGGGAAGACGTTGGAGTCCGTCGCAAAGCCGTCGACGTTGAAATTCGCGCAGTGCGTCTTGCCGAATAATCTCGTACAACGATTGAAGATCCCAACGGTTGGTGTATATAGTTCCGTGCCGTTTTCTAAAGTTTTGAGGCAACGAATGTAACGATATTAAGCACTATTTCGACAAACTCCGATTATCTTTAAACGATAATTAACTTAAAACAACATTCTAATGTTACAGTCCGTTGTTCTCTAATATCCTTTTCCAATACATTAAATATAATTAATTCTATTAATTAATTTGATTGTTTTATAATTATCTAAGTAGAACAAGTCACGATAATGTCAAAGTGAAATTAAAATGAATCGGAAATGATTAAAAAATAACTTTTAATGATCATTTTGGAGTCATTTTGACATTATTTTGATATCATAATGACTTGTTCTGCTTGAGTATTACATTCTAAATTTTTCGAAGTGAAATTTCACTTCTAAAGAGTGATAGTTGCGCCAGTCCGATAGGAGTGAAATTTTCACTCTTAGAGAATGAAGAATCACTCCAAATGGGAGTCAATTTTCAATCTATGTGGAGAGTAAATAATTTCACTCTCCGAAGGGAGAAACTGAAATTTCACTTTGATAAATGTTAAGTTTAGCCTCTCTCTCTCTCTCTCTCTCTCCATACATTTAATCCAAAAACGTCGCTCTGTCTCGCGAAGCAAGATATTAATCATTAAAGTTGACTTTTTAGGTTAGATTAAGAAATTCACTCCTAAAGGAGTGAAGTGAAGTTCACTTCTTGCCGGACTGGCGCAACCATCACTTTTCTTGGAGTGAAATTTCACTCCCAAAAATTGAGAGTGTATAATAGTTATATTTTATAGTTATATAATTTGATAGTTTTATTCGTATTATTTAATAAAATAGTACTGATCGATTAAGTTAATCGGAGTTGGTCGAAATGATCCTAATGATCCACTATACAATTTATCTCGATAGCAAGCAACGGGAAGGGGAGGGGGATTTCGATATATATACTTTATTTGAATTGAAGAAGCTACTCACTTGTGTCCTTAATAGTCGGTGGTCCTACAAGCCATCTAGGAGTGATGAGGCCTGATAAAACTGCCATCAACGCTGCCAGAGATAAGAGAGTCCATAACAGACTGCGTCCAGTGACTATCACATAGCACATGCTGCCGATCAATTGATTCTCTATGCCATTCTTAGATCGCTCGACCGTGTCTGAAAAATAGCGTATCAATCCGTCATAAATTTTACACCTAAATGGACAATAAATATTGCAATTACCGACATACTTAACGAATTCTCATTCGTTAAGAATTCTTTAAATTCCCGCTAAATAGAATTCGACGTTGGTTGGTAATTAACGCGACTGTGTTCTTGTTGCCTCTACCGGCATTCGTTTTTAATGAGGGGCCGTGAACGAATAAATGCCAGAATAAATGCCTTTCATATTAGTATTTCGAGGAAAACGCCGCGCACAGTTGTTATTCGTGGTTCTCCTTCGTCGAGCGCGGGCATTAAAAGCGTGGCTGCGATACGGACCGAACACGTAGAATACACAGATCTCGGGTTACGGCGCAGCGGCCAACAGTTACAACTTTTTATTCTGATTTCACGGAAATCGTGAAAGGGCACGGGGGCTCCTCACCGGGTATAGAAATCACTCGACCCTCGGATCTAGCTCACGACACCGTGGAATCACCGACAAACGGACGCCGTAAGACATCCGTTTCGTTCGTGATCGACTCTGGGATCAGACCTTTGCGGTCGTCCCGCGGGAGATAGCGGTTTCTCAAAAGCACCGCCAGTAATTTTCTTGATTGGAACAACATAAATTAAAATAAGACTTTATGAAGAGTTTAATTAGACTTTTGAGTTCTATTTTAGAAAATGTTCAACTTGCGATAATTTAATTTATCACAGAAAGAACGATTTTGCTGAAGTATATAAAAGTTCAAATTTTGATACAGGTTTGTATCTAGTTAAATACTTTAGCAAAAGTGTTTTTTTCATGCAGGGAATGCGAGAAAAATTTCTGAATGATTTCATTGTAGTGGTTGAGGGTGTTTAAGCGTTCCTAATTTATTTGTACGCGAGCGCATTAATAGGAATTTAATGAAGACTTTTTTAAAAAAATTGTCTACGAAAAAGATTAATTCGAATCAATCACTGCTCATCCTAGTTTTCAGCCGGAATAGCGCCCCTCTTCTCATATTCGTGGGCGGCGCCTTTTCGCCTTTTATGCCACACGTCTTGCTCGAGACCACTCTTTTCTCTCTCCCTCTCTCTCTCTCTCTCTCTCGCGCGCGCGCGCGCCTGCCTCTCAAGGTTCTCCCTTGTGCTCTTCAAACCCGCAAACTTTAATCATCCTGGCCTCTTCACCACCAATCGAAAGGTTTACTTTGATCTCCACCGGCAACGAATCAACAAGGCAAAATGCGATCTGTATATCAAATATGAAAGACTACTCTCGAAACTTGAAATTTTTAACACAAATAAGCGAAGAAAATCATATTCAACCAAAGCGGATGTCTAATAATATTTTTGCATGAATCTTACAATTTCCAGTTCAAGCAAACTGCGCGCCAATTATTTGTTGGTCTTGCAACACAGTCCTAAATTAAAGCTGGAATACGTATAATGTCAAATCAAATTGACAAGCAATTTAATAATACCAATGTTAATTCGATGAACATCTTAAAACACTGTAAAGAACTTATTACGAAAAATAACCCAGCCAGAATTCGAACCTCTCTCTACATTTCATGATGGACGCATTTATCAATAGAATCGTTTGAATTTTTTGCGCAATCTTATATTTGTGAGTTTAAAGATCCATCTCTTCGAGCTGTATGTCAAATTTCAAAGTTAGACCCAAATCAGTTATCGAAAAGAAAACACTCAACAGTACTATCAAAGTATAGTATCAAAGAAATTCGTTGGCACTCACTGCTGTTGCCGCTTTTATTTCCGACACTCTCTGCCTGCGACTAGCAACCACTTCACAAAGTATATTTACTTAGGATCACCCCCTAATCGCTGTTTATATTTGCGCTGTCTCAAACCCCGGAACATAAATGAATCTCTTTCTCTCTCTTTCTTTGAGAGATGACGTTGATGTATCGCGAGGGTGTTGTAAGAAAACATTCCTTTAAACCAGATTAATTTCTTTAGCATTTTGACCATATAAAAATCGGAAGCTTTACTTTTTTAAGCATTAAAACATCGTTTTCGAATAACTGAAAAAAAATACCAACTATCTCTCATCCCCCTGATTAATTCATCAATTAGCGATAATTAATTAGCTGCCATCGTTGAGCGAGTTATCGCTTCTACAAGCGATTTTCCATCGCGTTTGGCTCCTTGTTTCGGCGTCCCACGACAGTCCGCCTTCGCACGTGATTAAGAATTAATGAACCATGGACCAATCGTTCAATTGACAATCTATGCAATTCGAAACGAAGAGAGACAAGCGCTGCATCGAACGCGTGGGCCGGCTGCTGTCTGCCCGACAGGCAGCTGCGCGTTTTTCCTTTTCCTTTTTATTTTAATTATACCAGCTTTATTGTTACGTATAGCGCTGCCACGCCTTCTCATAATGCGATACAGGCTCCTTTCGCCAAGACCGCGTGCGCGCGAGCCACCGAGTCGTGAATTAATCCTCAAACTCATACCGAGATCTCGACGCCTGCGGCGTCAAAATTTGCACGGAATTCTTCTCAGCTTGGTGTCACTTTAATTACCATCGTTTATCCATTGGTAGATTTCTGAGTGCAGTCTCTGTGTAGATTTAAAATGGTCTTCGCGTTTTCACGAGAAGAGGACAGGTTTAGCATCGTGGTGAGATCGACCGTGCAGACACCAGAGATCTGGGCTTACAAGCAGATTATTAGCATTCTCCGTTGACTTACGGCTTTTCGGCCGTGAGTTACCGGACAGAGGACCCATTGGCGGATGACTAATGGTCGGAGCGTCTGTGCAATGGCTGGAAAAGAGAAGGGAGGATATTGCATTCCGCGAAGATGCGTGAGTCGAATGAGAGATTCAGATGCCACCCACAAACGGTCCTATAATAGGATCCGAAACGTACTGTATAATCCTTCGCGAGAGGGTAAAGACGTAAAAGGATCCAGGACAGAATTTTAATTTATCGCTTACGGAAAAGAAGACAGCGTCCCGATAAGCTGTCGTGGAAGAGAAACCATTCTGGAGGAAGATCTCTTAGGCCCAGTTTCACAACTCACGGTTAACTCTTAATCGAGGTTCAACTTATTCATTATCTCTTTTTTAATTCTAGAATTGGATAAAGATGAGAAACAAGTTGAACCTCGATTAAGAGTTAACCGTGAGTTGTGGAACTGAGCCTTAAAGGACCCATCGATTAACGCGACGCGAATTATCTTAATTGTTCCAAGAGAGCCTCTACCCGCGTTTGAAAACAAGGCACCTACTCTCCTTACATAATCTCGCGAGTGCGCCATATGCGAGGCAGCTGTTGGACAGGTGCTCCCTTGCATCTCTCGTCTTTGTCCTCCCCCTTATAATCTTCCTTGAGATCCAGTCTACGAAGAGAGGAAGAGAAACAGAGAGAAAGAGAGAGAGAGAAGGTGAATCACCCTTTTCTTTTTTTTTTTACTATAGCTTCACCACGCCAACATCTCGCTTTACCCAGCGACTTCACCCGTAGTGATTTATCGCAATTCCGAGGGTGATCGTTTTCTAAGCGATCGACCAGTCCTAGACCCGTGCCAAGCGTGCGACCGATCTCCCTCCATCAGGGAAATCTACATGAGACATAATTAGACTTCCAATCGCGCCGTGAGTCATTCGACATGAGCCGTGTAACCAACAAGTGGAACTCAACATGCCAGTTGACTATTGCCAGACACTTAAAGCAATTATGTTCCTAAAAGAAGTTTGACAGAGAATTATATATACAGGGTGTTTCCAAATTAAATGGCAAAACTTCGGGAGCGTGTAGAGGAGTAAAAAACTAAGAAAAAAAGTCCTATAGACATATGCTCGTTTTTGCTCCGTTTCAGAGAAATCGAAAAAAAATGTTTACATTTCTTGCCATATCTAGCACCGACATATTTGATTACATTTTCCACTTTCTGTTATGAATTTGTCAGTCGCTCTTTGAAAGCCTTTAACAGTAGATGAATTTTGTCTTTTGCAATATGCCGCGTACGTATTCTAATAGTGAATATGCTGATATGGTTTTTGTATACGGTTTCTGCAACGGTAATGCTTTAAAGGCGGTGCGAGAATATGCACGACGATTTCCAAACAGAAGAGTGCCAAACCGAAGAGTGTTTATGTTGACATTTAATAGATTGCGAGAGACTGGAACATTTTCAATTCGACAAGAAAACAACCGATTTCAAGCAGCGTTACGAAGAGATTTGCAGGCAGGGAATCGTATTTTACAACATTTTGACAATCATCCTGAGACC